CGAACCGTGTCTGCTTAAGCACACACATTTTTTTTTTTTTTGCAAAATCTTTAATAGTATCTAAGCAAGCCCTGTCACGTACCTATCCATTTAAATAGCTGAATGCATGCCCATGAATCGAAAGTCGATCCCTTGAAATATTGTTGAAACAATCGCTAGAAGGAAATTAGATTTGGCTAAGGGAGGTAACTTTTATCAACTATTGCGTGCTTTCTTTGATTGATTCTCTTACCAGAAGAAATACAATACTTCCTTCTTTGCTGGTCTTTTACTTTTGTTTTTGTTACTTCATTCCACTTTTCGTCTCCTTACATCTTCATGTTTTTCTTTTCATTTCTTTTTCTTTCTTTGTTAATTCGCTTTTTCTTAATTATTATCTTTTATTTTGTTTTGTCTTTATTCTTTGTCCTTTTTCATTTCAGATACGTGCATGCGAAACATTTCAGTAAATGAAAAAACAATCTAATATATAAGACATAGGAATTTTTAGAACCTCCCACAAAATGTTCCAAATTTAAGATACGAATGACTCATCTTAAACTTACAGAATCTATATTTCTCCCAGACTGAGTGTATAACCCGGGAAAAGAGTAACATGGATCAATGGAAGTGTTGCTCAAAAACAAGTAAAAACTATGGCTGATCTCTAAAATTGCAAATTCTGCAAATGTTCTTAGCAAAAGATAAAACAATAACATCAATAAATCTCAGTAGTAAATACTTCTAATATTCAAAAAGCATGCACTGATATTGAAACCATGTTTAGGGAAAGATAGGTTCATGATATTTCTAATAAATATATTAGTTCGAAACGAAAGATATATATATATATATATTCATAATTAAGTAATTCATCGAGTCTAGAAGAAACCTCAAGAGAATGCAAAAAGCACTGGACGTTTCGGCCTATATTCGTGACTCATCAGTAGCGCGCATCCACAACCGAGAATTGAAACCCGAACAATTACGTCAGGAGGGAAACGATATACCAACTGTACCAACGGTTCTCGGTGATGAAGAGGTAACGAATTAGACTCGATATCGCTCGATCACAAATTCCGTGGTGGGACTTCTCCGAGTTTCCCTTTTACCCATAGTCTGTGATTCACCGAACTAAAACGACTATCCCCAAGCCACTCACTCCAGAGCATTAGAAGACGGTTCAAACAAGGATATACAGAGAGAAATAATTAAGAGGATTTGAAATAATCATAATTAAGTAATTCGTCGAATTTTAACTGGAAACAACTAATCAATTTTCCGCGCTGATAAACATTGCTCTACCCCCAAGTCTGCTTAAGCAGGCACATTTTTCTTTGCAAATAGTATCTAAGCAATCCCTGTCACGTACCTATCGTTTTAAATGGCTGAGCGAATCTCCCTACTAAATCGAAAGTCGATCCCTTGAATTATTGTTTCAACAAACTGCAGAAGGAAATTAGATTTGGCTAAGAGAGGTAAATTCTATCAACACTTGTAGGCTTTATTTATCAAAGTTAATCATTGGTTGACTAGAGACGTGCAAAGTCTTTGTGTAACGTGCCTGAAATATCGTTATTAAGTTTTCTAAACAATCCTTCCTCGTAATGTGTACCAACTGTTTCTTTCTTATTGAAATAAATAAAAGACAAATTCTTACTGTCTGTCCGTGTGTCTGAAACACATTTTATTCTACATAGACATATACTTTTTTGGAATCAGGATAATCCCGGGATTGAAAATCTGCCCTTCATTTGGTGCTTGATCATTCAGCATTGGGATTTGTGTCCAGTTGAGGAGAGGATAGTCTAAAATTGAAATTCTTTCTTTCTTTCTTTCTTTCTTTCTTTCTATCATATAGTACTTAAATGTATAGAATTGTCCGTTTATGTAAATAAGCGGAGTTGAGCAGAGTTAGCATTAGGTCAATTGCTGAGTGTACCTTCGTGTTGCAAACCTTCTATTTCATTACTTACTTACAACTTTGTCTTCCTTATTTATTTCTCTCTGTTATCAAACATGACTGTCCTCATCTATCTATCTATCTATCTATCTATCTATCTATCTATCTATCTATCTATCTATCCATCTATCTATCTATCTATCTGTCATATCATATCTATAGATCTATCTATCTATCTATTCGTGTATCTATTTCATCCAAATCAGTTTGTCTTCCTTATCTTATTTAAAACATGACATATCTATCTATTATCTATCTATCTATCTATCTATCTATCTATCTATCTATTCATCTATCTATCTATCTATCTATCTATCTATCTGTCATATATCTATCTATGAATAGAATCGTTGGTTATGTATTCATCTAAACCTTCTATTTCATTCCTAACCTATCAGTTTGTCTTCCTTATTTATCTATTTAAACATGACTTCTATATCTATCTATCTAAAAATCAGTTCATATCTATCTATCTATCTATCTATCTTCATCTATCTATCTATCTATCTATCTATCTATCCAAATCAGTTCATATCTGTCTATTTAAATCAGTTCATATCATCTATCTATCTATCTATCTATTCATCTATCTATCTATCTATCTATCTATCTATCATCTATCTAAATCAGTTCATATATATTCATCTAAACTATCTATCTATCTATTCATATCTATCTATCTATCATGTATCTATCTATCTATCTATCTATCTATTTAAATAGTTCATATCTATCTATCTATTCATATCTATCTATCTATCTATTATCATATCTATCTAAAATCAGTCCATATCTATCTATCTATCTATCTATCTAAATCAGTTTATATCTATCTATCTATCTATCTATCTAAATTATTCATATCTATCTATCCATTCATATCTATCCATCTATCTCATCTATCTATCTATATCTATCTATCTATCTAAATCAGTTCATATATCTATCTATCTATCTATCTCATTCATTCATTCATTCATCTATCTATCTATCATCCACATCCATCCATCTATCTATCTATCACCATCCATCATCTATCTATCTATTCATCTACCTTCATCTATCTATCTATCTATCTATCTATCATTCATCTATCTATCTATCTATCTATCTATCCATATCTATCTCATCTATCTATTCATCTATCAGTTCATATCCCATCATCTCATCTTCACTATCATCTATCTATCTATCTATCTATCTATCTATCTATCCATCTATCTATCTATCTATCTCAGTATATTCATTCATTCATCTATCTATCTATCTATCTATCTCAGTATATTCCTTATTATCTATCTATCTATCTATCTATCTATCTATTTATCTATATATCTATCTATCTATCTCAGTATATTCACTATCTATCTATCTATCTCAGTATATTCACTATCTATCTATCTATCTATCTATCTATCTATCTATCTATCTCAGTATATTCACTATCTATCTATCTATCTCAGTATATTCACTATCTATCTATCTATCTATCTATCTATCTATCTAGCCATTCATTCATCTATCTATCTCAGTATATTCACTATCTATCTATCTATCTATCTATCTATCTATCTATCTATCTATCTATCTTTTCTTACTAAATAAACGGCAAATTCCGTCTATCGACTCGTGTGTCTGAAACACATCCAACTCGGGCCACACTTGCTCCGCATATTATACCCTTCTGTCACCAAGATGAGCCCGGGATTAAACATTAGCCATTCAACTGGTGCTGGAACATCCACCATTGGCATTTGTGCCCGGATGAAGAGGGAACCGTTAAAAATTTAAATTTTAAAATAACTGAAAAAAAATAGTGATTTTTTTAAAAAAAAGTTTTAATTTATATTTAATTTAAAGTATCACAAAGACTTTGCGAGTATAATTTCTTTTGTTTTAATTTCAGTTTAAAATATCTCCAAATGTTTCTGAAGTGAAGAAATTAAATTTATTTCTTAAAAAATGCCAAGGAAAGTAAGAGGTTTCGTGACTTCATATTTTGAAGTTCCGCAGACTTTTTGATTTGAAGAACTCATCCCAAACCATGGTCAATTACACCAGACGCCCATCAAATTTTACAGCACTGGGTATTCATAAGCGGTCACCCATTTAGGTACTGACCAGGCCAGACGATCCTTAACTTTAGTTATCGTAACTGGTGTTTTAACGCTGAAACCTATATAGCTTTCTAATTTAAATTCTAGTCAAGGCTTCTTTTTTAGTCTTTTTTTTTTGAAAATACCCTCGAAAATGCATAAAACATTCCCTTCTCACTGCACTTAATAACAGCAGAAGAGAAGGCGCTCTCTAGCGTCGGATGGAAGTTATGAATCATAGAGCTGGATTCAAAATTCCCTAGGAACTCCAAGCCGTAAGAAAAGAAAAAAAGAAACTACTTTCTTTCTGTATTTATAGAATGAGAAGTTATCATTATTTGCACTATCTACATACGGACTATTGTCCTTACCTTTATTGTTTTTTTCACATTTCGGCCGTTGTGGTTTACGGCGTTCATCAGGTGTATATCGATCCAGTTACTCTACAGGGAATTTCGAATTGAATTCTTTATTTAGTCTTCAAGGTAGATTGTTCTCGTTCCACCTTGGCATAACTGATCTCTTATTTTTTAGCAACAACATTTATTGGATTCCCTGTTTATCAACAAAATCTGAAGTCACGAAACCTCTTACTTTCCTTGGCATTTTTTAAGAAATAAATTTAATTTCTTCACTTCAGAAACATTTGGAGATATTTTAAACTGAAATTAAAACAAAAGAAATTATACTCGCAAAGTCTTTGTGATACTTTAAATTAAATATAAATTAAAACTTTTTTTTAAAAAATCACTATTTTTTCAGTTATTTTAAAATTTAAATTTTAACGGTTCCTCTTCATCCGGGCACAAAAATGCCAATGGTGGATGTTCCAGCACCAGATGAATGGCTAATGTTTAATCCCAAGGCTCATCTTGGGTTTAAGGGTATAATATGCGGAGCAAGTGTGGCCTGAGTTGGATGTGTTTCAGACATTTCGAAGATAGACGGAATTTGCCGTTTATTTAGTAAGAAAAGATAGATAGATAGATAGATAGATAGATAGTGAATATACTGAGATAGATAGATAGATAGATAGATAGATAGATAGATAGATAGAATAGATAATATACTGAATATACTGAGATAGATAGATAGATAGAAATATAGATATGAACTGATTTAGATAGATAGATAGATAGATAGATAGATAGATAGATAGTGAATATACTGAGATAGATAGATAGATAGATAGATAGATAGATAGATAGATAGATAGATAGATAGATAGACACGGATTGATATACATCTGATGAAGACCAGAATGTAAACAGCCGAAACGTTGTGATAACAACGATAAACAGCAGGAAAATAGTTCGAATGTAAGTAGTGTAAATACAGAAGCCATATTTCATTATTCTTCATCCGTTTTGTTTTGGATCATTTCACCCCATGCAAGAGAGAAAAGCGACTAAGACAAAAGGCATTACACTTTATGACATGGAAAAAGTCCGACAATTATTTTAAGACATTTGTTTAAAGTTTATACGTTCTTTTTATAGATAATATATTTAAGTAAATGCTCTGTTTATAATAAACAGTATTAACGACATTTACCGGCCCGAGAAAAATTTCAGCGAAAATATCCGTTTTCCGTTTCGATACAACGCAACGGGCCTCGGCGACGAAGGATAAACTGAATATACTCAATATGGCACCGCTACTCACAAATGCCATAGTGATACTTCTCCAAGTATTCACAACTCAACGGATCGTGCCCCAAGAGACACGTCTTTCCTTTCACCCGTACCGCTGCATCGCGGAGCATTTGCTTGACCAAGCAACGATATACAAGTAATATATATATATATATATGAAACGGCCCTAAAAGATAGCGGATTCCCAGCAATACTCACATACTCACCACAGAATACAAAAAAGACCAACAGGAGAAGAAATATCATATGGTTCAACCCACCGTACAGCAAGAACGTAAAAACAAACGTAGGAAAAATATTCTTCAAACTCTTACACAAACACTTCCCAGAATCAAGCACCTTACACAAGATATTCAACAAAAACACAGTAAAATCAGCTACAGCTGCACCGAGAGCATGGCACAAATAATAAAAAAGCACAATAGGAAAATTATCAACAAACCACACGAACAAATTAAACCCACGCAACTGCAGAATAAAGAACGAATGTCCCTTAAACGGAAATTGTCTACAAAACAACGTAATATACCAAGCCACGATAAAATCACCAGATAACGAAAAAAGTATACATAGGAGTAACTGAAGGACCCTGGAAGCAAAGAAATTATACACACAAAACATCGTTCACAAATAGTAAATATGCGAACAGTACTATGCTTTCTAAGTATATCTGGGAAATAAAAAACAAAAACGCACATCACACCAAAAATATCTTGAAGATAAGGAAAAATCATCAGCCTACAACAACCAATCAAAAACTTGCAAACTTTGCTTGGAGGAAAAAAATAGCTATCATTACTTTCTCCGACCAAAATAAATTATTAAATAAAAAGATCCGAGCTCATCTCAAAATGCAGGCATGAAAATAAATTTTTACTACGTAACCTAAAAAATGAAAAAACGGAAAAAGATAAAATAAAACAAAATACAATAATAATAATAATAAAAAAAAAAAATAAATAAATAAATAAATACTATGTTGCTTAAAAACCGAAAACCAAAAGAGAAAAAATATAAAAATAAATTGACCTAAATTCATCCAAGTAAATAAATAGGCAAACCAATCCCAAATTAAAAAACTGTTCCCGCCAAAAAAATAATAGTTAGAATGAACTACAACAACCAACCCCAAAATTGAACAAATAGCTTTAATTAAATTCTCAAACCAAAACAAAACTGTTAAATACGTGATATAAACAAATTTTTACTACGTTAATAAATAAATAAATAAATAAAATAAGAAACAAAAAAAATAAAATAAAATAAAATAAAATAAAATAAAATAAAATAAAAAATAAATAAAAACGAGCAATATAACTTGACCCAAATAAATGAACAAAGCGACTTCCGGTAAAAATAACCGCCATAATAGAATACCCACAATGCACCACTAACCCGTATATATATAAATAGCCGAGAAAAATAACAGCACACGTGGCCTGACGATTGCATATAGCATGAAACAGACTGACGCCTCTAAGTGTTGACTTCTATGTTCACTTTTATATTCACACGCTCTATCTCTGATATTGAGCACTTTATCCCATAAATATAGCACTCCTTAAGACTATATTTCTTTATATATATATATATATATATACTGGTTAAATCAGAGAAAGTTTCATATATATATATATATATAAATAAATTGTTGGAGGTACAAAACCGTAGTATTGCAGGGAGTAGATACATATTATTTCCTAAAGGCATTTTGAAAATTAAAAAATAAGAGATGATAACACTTACAAAACAGACCAACCGGTTTCGTTCCCAAGCTCATCAGGGTCGACTGGGAACAATTTAACAATTATTGCAATATATATTAATTCACACAAACACCCTACATACAATTAAAACATTAAAAAATGAAATGATTAATGGTATGAGGGGGAAAAAAAATATATATATTTCAAACCGTGCGAATATTTGCTTACATATATATATATATATATATATGTAAGCAAATATATGGATATAGATCCGACAGTATGAAGAAAAATACAGAAAAAAACAAACAAAAATCTTAATATGCAATTATGTAGTATTAATGTTAATATAAAGTCGACGCCTGACGTTTCGGTCTATTTAAGACCATCTTCATGGACATTTTCATTTAAACATAATTAACATTAGAACATATAATAATTTAACACAAAAGACGATGGACATAAGAGCCCAAATAATATTCCGATTTTTGTTTGTTTTTTTTTCTGTATTTTTCTTCATATATATATATATATATATATATATATATATATAGTTTTGTTTTGTGTACGACTTAATAGTATACAAATATCCTTTCTAGTATTCCTTTCCTTTCATCCATTCTTTTCCGTCCATGAAATACGCTTTTATTATTTCACGGATATAATAATCCTGATAATGGGGGAAATTCAACTTGGAGAATAAATCTTTCTCCACTAGATGTCTCATTTTGCCGTGAATTCATATGCGATGTCTTTTTGTTCAATGCGTGGGCACACGTGTATATATGCATATACAGCTTTTGTATATCTTAATAGTATAAAAATCTCTTTGAGAAAAATCATGTTTTTCATTCCTTTTCCTTTCAGGCATTCTGTTCCGTCTGTAAATTACGGTGTTACTATATCACGGATATAATATTGCCTATAATGGGGGAAATACAATACAAATGGGATAATAAATCTTTCTTCCATATCTCTCATATAATAAAAACTTCCCCCTTTAAATTTTTTATGCTACTAAGACATACACAAAACTATATATGCATACATACACGTGTACCCACGCAGAGAAAAAAAAACAAGTATATTTGTCATTATTTTGCCTTTCAGCCATTCTATTCCGTCCGTGAACGATGGTGTTATTCTATCACGGATATATTAATGCCCATAATTGGGGAAATAAAAATGGAGAATAAATCTTTATATAAAATCTGTTATAATAACAGCGTACTTCACGGACAGAACAGAATGGCTTAAATCAATTTTTAGCTGATTTTATAATCATTCAGTGAACATTGGCAATTTCACTTCTATGTCAGGCTACAAGGGTGAACAGTAGCTAACACAAATTTTAAAACAAACAACTGCCTATATAATCTGAGAAAATAACTTCTGTATATGTATATTTTTTATCCAAGTCCCCACATTTTTAATGGTATATATTACATAAAGCTTTCTATCAAAAACTATACCGCTTTCCATTGTGTATATATCGATAAGGAGTATGATACGCAGTTAAAAGAGAATTTAAAGAGGAAATATTATATTATATAAGAGATATGGAAGGAAGATTTATTCTCCCATTTGTACTGTATTTTCCCCATTATGGGCATTATTATATCCGTGATATAATAACACCATACTTCACGGACAGAACGGAATGGATGAAAAGAAAAAGGATGACAAACATACTTTGTTCTCAAGAGATTTCTATGCTACTAAGACATACACAGAACTATATATGTATACATACACGTGTGTCCACGCAGAGAAAAAGCAAGTATATTTGTCATTATTTTGCCTTTCAACCATTCCCTTCCGTCCGTGAACGAGGCGTTATTCTATCACGGAAAAATTAATGCCCATAATGGGGGAAATACAAATGGCAGCGTCAATCTTTCTTCCCTAGCTCTCTCCCATTACAGGTGATTAGTAGCAATGTTGTCTTCATCTAGTAATGTCTTACGATTCTGCGGTAGCTAAATCTGGTCGGTACATGTGGGAAGTATTTCTGACGCACACTGCGTATCATGTGGCATTTGGGAACTTGTAGCCCTACAAATTGAATAAATTAACACAAAGATCAAAGACATCAAAATACAATCGACAAAGCTTTCTTAGAAAGCCACATTCGAAATTATGCATTTTTTCAAGATTTTAATGTGAATAGTGATTACGCAATCATCTCAGCCACGAGACAAATCACTAAAACTTTTTTCTTGCAAATGTTTTTTCTAACAAACACACTTCCACTTCCTATGGAATTATTACAATTTTCCTTCTCTCTCACACTCCTTCTCTCTCACATAACCAATCACTTCCTTTTCGCCACAGATATTAAATCCCCTAACATCAATAACCCCTGCCACACCTTATCCTTTCATAGCAGCTGTTTTTCTCTATAATTCTCTATTCCTGTGATCTTTGTCTTCGTATTTTACTGGTATCTTTTCTTTGTTTGAAACGCTCATCCAATATGAACTTTCTTTCGAAAGGTTCCAATGATTTATAATCCTTCACGTCTGTTCACGCATCCCGTCCCCACGTCTTTTCAACGCTGACTACCTCACCCCCCCCGCCCCGCCCGCCCCGTCCAAACAGTCTATCATTTATTTTTTTTTCATTTCCCGCCATATCTTATTGCATTGTTAATGTACACCTGTCGAAAAAGTTTCCGGGACGAAACTCTGCGGCGGAAGTTAAATGTCGGATAATTCTGGTCGGACGAATTTTGGGCACAAAGTTGACGATCACGCACGGAAATTTCCGCGTCTTTATATCAGGTGAGCGCAAAAGATAAAAATGCAGAAGAGACGGCAAAAATATATGTCAATGAAGCAAAGAAGAAAAGGGGAAAAGAGAGAACGAAAGAAACTAACAAACAACGAAGACCAATTGAATAAAGAGAGTTAAGAAAGGAAAAAAAAACGTGAATAAGAAAGAAAGAAAGAAAGAAAGAAAGAAAGAAAGCAGGGATTCAAAAACAAAAGAAAATAAGAACGTATTATAACGGAAGTAAAAAAGGAAGAGATGAAGGAAGGGAGGGAGGAAGGGAGGTACTCAGAAACGAAAGAAAGACTAACAACGTATTAAGAAGGAAAGAAAGGAACAAACATACAAACAACTGAAAGATTAACAACGTATTGAGAAAAAAAGCAAGAAAGAAAGAAAAAAAGAATGAATAATGAAAAAGAAGCTATTCAGAGACAAAGCAGAGATTAAGAAAGAAAGAAAGAAAGAAAGAAATAAAGAAAAATAGAATGAAATACATAGAAAGAAGCTATTTTGAAACAAATAATAAATTAAGAAAGAAAGAATGAAAAAAGTAAAGAAAGAAGCCATTGTGAAACAAAATAAAGAAAGAACAAAGAAAGACGGAAAGAACGAAATAAAGAACGGATTATGGAACAAAATAAAGAAAGAAAGAAAGAAGCTATTCTGAAACAAAATAAAGAAAGAAAGAAAGAAGCTATTCTGAAACAAAATAAAGAAAGAAAGAAGCTATTCTGAAACAAAATAAAGAAAGAAAGAAAGAAAGAAGCTATTCTGAAACAAAATAAAGAAAGAAAGAAAGAATCTATTCTGAAACAAAATAAAGAAAGAAAGAAAGAAGCTATTCTGAAACAAAATAAAGAAAGAAAGAAAGAAGCTATTCTGAAACAAAATAAAGAAAGAAAGAAAGAAGCTATTCTGAAACAAAATAAAGAAAGAAAGAAAGAAAGAAGCTATTCTGAAACAAAATAAAGAAAGAAAGAAAACAAAACAAAATAAAGAAAGAAAGAAAGAATCTAAAAACGAAAGAAAGAATCTATTCTGAAACAAAATAAAGAAAGAAAGAAAGAAGCTATTCTGAAAAAAAATAAAGAAAGAAATAAAGAAGCTATTCTGAAAAACAAAATAAAAGAAAGAAAGAAGCTATTCTGAAACAAAATAAAGAAAGAAATAAAGAAGCTTATTCGAAACAAAATAAAGAAAGAAAGAAGATTCTGAAACAAAAAAATAAAGAAAGAAAGAAAGAAAGAAGCTATTCTGAAACAAAATAAAAGAAAGAAAGAAAGAAGCTATTCTGAAACAAATAAAGAAAGAAAGAAAGAAGAAACAAAATAAAAAAAAGAAAGAAAGAATCTATTCTGAAACAAAATAAAGAAAGAAAGAAAGAAGCTTAAAACAAAAAAAAGAAAGAAAGAAAGAAAAAGAAAGAAAGAATCTATTCTGAAACAAAATAAAGAAAGAAAGAAAGAGAAGCTATTCTGAAACAAAATAAAGAAAGAAAGAAAGAAGCTGAAACAAAATAAAGAAAGAAAGAAAGAAGCTATTCTGAAACAAAAGAAAGAAAAAAGAAAAAAGAATTCTGAAACAAAATAAAGAAAGAAAGAAAGAAATTCTGGAAAAAAATAAAGAAAGAAAGAAAGAAGCTATTCTGAAACAAAATAAAGAAAGAAAGAAGAAGCTATTCTTAAAATAAAGAAAGAAAGAAATTCTGAAACAAAATAAATAAAGAAAGATTCTGAAACAAAATAAATAAAGAAAGAAAGAATCTATTCTGAAACAAAATAAATAAAAAAATAAAGAATCTATTCTGAAACAAAATAAATAAAGAAAGAAAGAATCTATTCTGAAACAAAATAAAGAAAGAAAGAAAGAATCTATTCTGAAACAAAATAAAGAAAGAAAGAAAGAATCTATTCTGAAACAAAATAAATAAAGAAAGAAAGAATCTATTCTGAAACAAAATAAAGAAAGAAAGAAAGAAGCTATTCTGAAACAAAATAAAGAAAGAAAGAAAGAAGCTATTCTGAAACAAAATAAATAAAGAAAGAAAGAATCTATTCTGAAACAAAATAAAGAAAGAAAGAAAGAATCTATTCTGAAACAAAATAAAGAAAGAAAGAAAGAATCTATTCTGAAAAAAGAAAGAAAGAATCTATTCTGAAACAAAAATAAAAGAAAGAAAGAAAGAATCTATTCTGAAACAAAATAAAGAAAGAAAGAAAGAAGCTATTCTGAAACAAAATAAAGAAAGAAAGAAAGAATGAAACAAAATAAAGAAAGAAAGAAAAGAAGCTATTCTGAAACAAAATAAAGAAAGAAAGAAAGAATCTATTCTGAAACAAAATAAAGAAAGAAAGAAAGAATTATTCTGAAACAAAATAAAGAAAGAAAGAAAGAAGCTTATTCTGAAACAAAAAAAGAAAGAAAGAAAGAAAGAAGCTATTCTGAAACAAAATAAAGAAAGAAAGAAAAGAAATTCTGAAACAAAATAAAGAAAGAAAGAAAGAAGCTATTCTGAAACAAAATAAAAGAAAGAAAGAAGCTATTCTGAAACAAAATAAAGAAAGAAAGAAAGAAGCTATTCTGAAACAAAAATAAAGAAAGAAAGAAAGAAGCTATTCTGAAACAAAATAAAGAAAGAAAGAAAGAAGCTTATTCTGAAACAAAATAAAGAAAGAAAGAAAGAAGCTAAAGAAAAGAAAGAAAGAAGCTATTCTGAAACAAAATAAAAATAAAAAAGAAAGAAAGAAGCTTATTCTGAAACAAAATAAAGAAAGAAAGAAAGAAGTTATTCTAAACAAAATAAAGAAAGAAAGAAAGAAGCTATTCTGAAACAAAAAAAAACAAAATAAAGAAAGAAAGAAAGAAATTCTGAAACAAAATAAAGAAAGAAAGAAAGAAGCTATTCTGAAACAAAATAAAAGAAAGAAAGAAAGAAGCTATTCTGAAAAAAAAAGAAAAAAAAGAAACAAAAAAAAACAAAATAAAGAAAGAAAGAAAGAAGCTATTCTGAAACAAAATAAAGAAAGAAAGAAAGAAGCTATTCTGAAAAAAAAATAAAGAAAGAAAGAAGCTATTCTGAAACAAAATAAAGAAAGAAAGAAAAGAAGCTTATTCTGAAACAAAATAAAGAAAGAAAGAAGCTTATTCTGAAACAAAAAAAGAAAGAAAGAAAGAAAGCTATTCTGAAACAAAATAAAGAAAGAAAGAAAGAAGCTATTCTGAAACAAAAATAAAGAAAGAAAGAAAAAAGCTATTCTGAAACAAAATAAAGAAAAAGAAAGAAGCTATTCTGAAAGAAGCAAAATAAAGAAAGAAAGAAAGAAGCTTTCTGAAAACAAAATAAAGAAAGAAAGAAAAAGCTATTCTGAAACAAAATAAAGAAAGAAAGAAAGAAGCTATTCTAAAGAAAGAAAGAAAGAAGCTCTGAAACAAAATAAAGAAAGAAAGAAAGAAGCTATTCTGAAACAAAATAAAGAAAGAAAGAAAGAAGCTATTCTGAAACAAAAATAAAGAAAGAAAGAAAGAAGCTATTCTGAAACAAAATAAAGAAAGAAAGAAAGAAGCTATTCTGAAACAAAATAAAGAAAGAAAGAAAAAAACAAAATAAAGAAAGAAAGAAAGAAGCTATTCTGAAACAAAATAAAGAAAGAAAAGAAAGAAGCTATTCTGAAACAAAATAAAGAAAGAAAGAAAGAAGCTATTCTGAAAACAAAAAATAAAGAAAGAAAGAAGCTAAAGAAAGAAAGAAAGAAGCTATTCTGAAACAAAATAAAGAAAGAAAGAAAGAAGCTAAATAAAACAAAATAAAGAAAAAGAAAGAAGCTATTCTGAAACAAAAAAAAAGAAAGAAAGAAAGAAATTCTGAAAACAAAATAAAGAAAAAAGAAAGAAGAAGAAACAAAATAAAGAAAGAAAGAAAGAAGAAACATTCTAAACAAAAAAAGAAAAAGAAAGAAAGAAGAAACTGAAATAAAATAAAGAAAGAAAGAAAGAAGCTATTCTGAAACAAAATAAAGAAAGAAAGAAGCTATTCTGAAACAAAATAAAGAAAGAAAGAGAAGCTATTCTGAAAACAAAATAAAGAAAGAAAGAAGCTATTCTGAAACAAAATAAAGAAAGAAAGAAGCTATTCTGAAACAAAATAAAGAAAGAAAGAAAGAAGCTATTCTGAAACAAAATAAAGAAAGAAAGAAAGAAGCTATTCTGAAACAAAATAAAGAAAGAAAGAAAGAAGCTATTCTGAAACAAAATAAAGAAAGAAAGAAAGAAGCTATTCTGAAACAAAATAAAGAAAGAAAGAAAGAAAGAAGCTATTCTGAAACAAAATAAAGAAAGAAAGAAAGAAGCTATTCTGAAACAAAATAAAGAAAGAAAGAAAGAAGCTATTCTGAAACAAAAATAAAGAAAAAATAAAGAAAGAAAGAAAGAAGCTATTCTGAAACAAAATAAAGAAAGAAAGAAAGAATATTCTGAAACAAAAAAAAAGAAAGAAAGAAGCAAAAAAATAAAGAAAGAAAGAAAGAAGCTATTCTGAAACAAAAAAAAGAAAGAAAGAAAATAAAGAAAATAAAGAAAGAAAGAAAGAAAGAAAAATTCTGAAACAAAATAAAGAAAGAAAGAAAGAAAGAAGCTATTCTGAAACAAAATAAAGAAAGAAAGAAATTCTAAACAAAATAAAGAAAGAAAGAAAGAAGCTATTCTGAAACAAAATAAAGAAAGAAAGAAGCTATTCTGAAACAAAATAAAGCTATTCTGAAACAAAAAAGAAAGAAAGAAAGAAAGAAGCTATTCTGAAACAAAAAAAAGAAAGAAAGAAAGAAGCTATTCTGAAACAAAATAAAGAAAGAAAGAAAGAAAGAAGCTATTCTGAAACAAAATAAAGAAAGAAAGAAAGAAGCTATTCTGAAACAAAATAAAGAAAGAAAGAAAGAAGCTATTCTGAAACAAAATAAAGAAAGAAAGAAAGAAGCTATTCTGAAACAAAATAAAGAAAGAAAGAAAGAAGCTATTCTGAAACAAAATAAAGAAAGAAAGAAAAAGAAAAACAAAATAAAGAAAGAAATTCTGAAAGAAAGAAAGAAAGAAGCTATTCTGAAACAAAATAAAGAAAGAAAGAAAGAAAGAAGCTATTCTGAAACAAAATAAAGAAAGAAAGAAAAAGCTATTCTGAAACAAAATAAAGAAAGAAAGAAAAAAACAAAATAAAGAAAGAAAGAAAGAAGCTATTCTGAAACAAAATAAAGAAAGAAAGAAAGAAGCTATTCTGAAACAAAATAAAACAAAGAAAGAAAAAGAAGCTTATTCTGAAACAAAATAAAGAAAGAAAGAAAGAAAAAGAAGCTATTCTGAAACAAAATAAAGAAAAAGAAAAGAAGCTATTCTGAAACAAAAATAAAGAAAGAAAAGAAGCTATTCTGAAACAAAATAAAGAAAGAAAGAAAGAAGCTATTCTGAAACAAAATAAAGAAAGAAAGAAAGAAAGAATCTATTCTGAAACAAAATAAAGAAAGAAAGAAAGAAGCTATTCTGAAACAAAATAAAGAAAGAAAGAAAGGATTCTGAAATAATAGAGGAGTTAAAAACTTACTAAGAAATAAAGAAATATAGAATGTATAAATGGATTAAAGATGAAAGGAAGGAAAAAATATTTACGATAAAGTTAAGCAAAAAAGGATTTTTAAAGTAAAGGACGTGCACGAATTTGATGAAGAGAGGGAAAAAGAAAGGATAAAAAAGAATAATAAAATATAAGAAAGATAAAATAAAGAAATTAAATAATAATAAATAAATATTATAAAAATAAAATTAATAATACTAAATAATATTAAATAAATAAATAAAAGAAATAAATGAAATAGATATTATAATAAATAATATTAATAATAAAAATAAATAATATTAAATATATAATTAAATTACATAATCAATAAATAAATAATAATAAATAAATAATATTAAATAAATAAATTAAATAAACATTATAATATTGATATTAATAATAATGAATAACATCAAATAAATAAATTAAATAAATATTATAATGATATTAATGATAATAAATAAAAAATAATATTAAATATATATAAAATTTATTTTAAATAAATAATAAATAAATACTAAATAAGTAATAATATATAAATAAATTAGATAAACATTATAACAAATAATATTAAAATTAATAAATAATATTAAATAAATAAAATAAAATAAATACATAATAAATCTAATAATAAATAAATAATAGTAATAAATAAATTAAATAAATATAATAAGCAATATTGATAATAAAATAATATTAAATAGTATTAAATAAGTAATTAAATTAAATAAATAATAATAAATAAACAATATTGATAATAAAATAATATTAAATAGCATTAAATAAGTAATAAAATAAAATAAATAAATAAGAAATAAACAATATTGATAATAAAATAATATTAAATGGTATTAAATAAGTAATTAAATCAAATAAATACATAATAATAAATAAATAGTATTGATAATAAAATAATATTAAATAGTATTAAATAAGTAATTAAATAAAATAATAAATAATAATAAAATAATATCAACTAAAATAAATAAATTAAAATAATAAACTAGAGAAGGATTAATGAAATAATAATGAAAAAATAAAATAATAAAGAAAGAGAAGTAAAAGAAACAAAGAATGTCAAACAAATGGATATAAGTGTATGATTCATATCGTATATATATATATATATATATATATATATATATATATATATATATATATATATATATATATATATATATATATTATATTGTAAAATAATATATGTAGCCTCCATGAAATTATACATTATGGAAGCTATTCATTTTATCCAGTATATTATCAGGGAAGTTGGGGTCGTATTAACGATCTACCCTGGAGCATTCTCAGATCCTAGCAAATGCCTATGCCGATGATAGCGCTGTTTATGGACGCCTTTCCAGAAACCAGAATAATCGGATCTTTGCAGTTGATCTCTTTTCTGAATTATCCCCAGACACCTAAATTGGAAAAGAACCAGCTTTTAACATTCAATGCCCAAACAGCGTTCATACCCAGAAATATGTCAATGAACGGTTTGTTCTCATTGGGGCACAATGCTTTGAATACCTATTGGGCCTGAAACTTCAATGCAGACCCCGATATAGAACTCTCATATTTAAAGATACTCGATAAGTGATACTGGATAAAGAACCTGGACAATTGTCCCTGCAGGGATTATCTGATTCCTTCTGTCATGCCTTTTCTTGACAAAAGACAGATTAAACCAAAAAACGGATTATCGGTGAAATATCTTGGCTGGTGTCTCGGCTCCTCATTTTCCAGTCTTGATAACCACAAGGTTTGATTTTTACGTAGCCTTGTGGGTGATGACATATTTTCTACTATGGAGCTTCTTTCCAATAAACCGAACGTCCCCAGAACTTGGAGAGCCATGTTTGATGGATGTCAGTTATCAGTTATCTCCTGTTAATTCCCCTCTGAAAGTTCTCCACTGCCTTAACCGGGTATTGAACTCACACTCTTTGGGTCCTGTCACTGGATCTAACTAACGCCTTTATCCACTGTGCCATGTGTCCTTGAGGACATAAGGGGTTAGTTCGTCCCAGGACAGGACCCAAAGGTTGTGAGTTCACAAAGTAAATAATGTATAGTTTTTCCACTTCATGTCAGCTGAGAATCTTAGCCCGAGATGAGGCAAATAAATTATTTTTCTAACTTATTATTACGTTTGTTATTGTGTTTCGTTTTCTTCTGCAATATTAAAAAAAAATAAAAAATAAAACTACTGTAATTGTAAGTTTGTTTTAGTTTAATCGATATTGTCCAATATTGAAATATTCTTTAGAAGAGAACTAAAAGACTAACATTTTGCGTTCTTTGATTTCAAAATCCCTTCAGATGCGTCTTAAATTGAAACAACATATGTAATTAAAGAAAACTTTTGTGTATTAAAAAAACGCTGTTATTTTTATAGCATTAAAGAAATAATGACAAAAGACAAAAACAGGCTTCCTAACTATAGAATGTGAGACAAGCTCACGTTGGAATATAGTTGGAAGGTGTAGTCAGATGCTCCATCCAGAAAGTTATTGTCCCTTAGTGTAGCCGTTAACGTCTGCTGGATTTGAAATGAGTCCCACTTCAAGTGGTGGTAATGTACTAAGCGTGGGTTAGATGTAGCAGAACGTTGAATATGTGGGCAACCATTGAGAATCAAACTCTTTATCCAGTCATAATTGATCTAGCGAGACAAGTATTCTGACCATTACATTTCCAAATTTAGAGTCCTATTATTATTATTATTATTATTATTATTGTTGTTGTTGTTATTATTATTATTATTATTATTATTGCTTTATTTATATTACCTTTGATTTCTGAACTATACTTATTTCCTTCAGTGTCCCAACTAGAGATTGAGATCAAATATCATCATGATATTTTTCACTGAGAAATTAAAAAAAAGAAGAAAAAAAACAAATAGATTTTACATAGATAAAGCCCTTCGTATGATGTGGAGTTTACTCGTGAAAACAATTATTATTATTATTATCATCATCATTATTATTAGTATTATTATTATTACTTAATTACTTACTTAAATACGCAAGTACCAAAAACAAATAATTTCCATGACTGAAGATGACTGAATGTACAGTCGAAAGTACTTGCATATTTAAAGAAGAACTAATACAGTTTATAATTTAAAAAACAAGGATCATAACATTCATCGAATGATTGGTAGGTCAACGTGTCTTTAAAATTTGTTAGCGAAGGGATTTCGCCATTTTATATCATTAACTTTACTAAATGGATTAAGTCCGACATTTTTTTTAATATTAATTTTGTAATATATTTTCTTTTTGTACATTATTTTTATGGATAAAATTTATGAAGTAAATGATCTGTAGTAAATAAGTAAATGATCAGTATTAATTACATTTACTGATCTGGATATAATCGAAAGATTTTTGAATCGAACCTGTAAACCCTTTATGGAAATCATTTGACCTGACGTGCTATACTACTGTTCTATATAGAAAGCGTCTGCTTAGCAAAGTCTACATTAATGTTTATAAACCACAAATCTTCGGATAAGCGGAAAATATATTAAAATAATTGTCGAACTTCATCTTTTTCATAATATGTTGCCATTGTTTCCGTTAAGATATATTTCGTGAGCAGATATGATCGTCCAGGAAAGATCGCGTCAAGGACATCTTTTACGGTCAGATCTTGAGAGCGATGGGTTTCTGCCAGTCTCCTTTGCCCATGACACGCTACGCATGAATGAATACTGAACGGGACATATGATGGGTGCTGGTCAGCTGCGCAGTTAACCCAAGACCACACAAGGACAGGGAACTTATGATTATCAGGATAATGATGATAAAGAGTTATCTGATACAGGTCGGCATTATCCAAATACAATTAATCGTTTCACAAGAATGGTCAGATGTTCGGAAAGAAAGGTTTTGAAGACAACATGGTAAATTTTAAAAAAAAACCTTACATTCCGTAAATGCGCTTTAGCTATTTCCGTGGCAAAATTGTACTCATTCCTCGATTACTAGATTAAGCATTGTCTACATGAGGCGGAGATTCAACGTATGAGCAATAAATAAATTATTCTTGATTTGGCAGCTAAAGAAATTTGCCTCGAGCGATCACGTTCTATTGTAACGGAAGCAATAAATACTAGATATATATATCTATTACAAACAATACATTGACGTGTAAAAACTATTTAACAAGCTAACTTTAAAACATAGGCACTGTCATATAGGGGTACTGTGCAATAGAATTACACACATTAATTGATCGGATTATTCAACTGTTTATTAAAAAGAAGCAAATAGCAAAAGCTAGGCAAAGCACGTCATTCAACCTAGAGGCAAATACAGCTGGTGATAGATAGATAGATAGATAGATAGATAGATAGTGAAAGAGAGAGAAATAGAGAAAGTGAAAAAAAAGGGATGAGAGAAGGACAAGAGAGGGTAAGGAAATGGATCGAATATTAACTCTCATCATTCATCTAAATCATTCAAAGACTCTTATATCTACATCTCTATCTATAAAAGGCAGGATGTGTGTGTGTGTGTGTGTGTGTGTGTGTGTGTGTGTGTGTGTAACGAATGCACGGCCGCAATTTTCGACGAATTTGCAACAAAATTTATATGCACATGCTCCAAGTTAGCGATAAAGGCCAAGACTGACTTGGCATTTCCCAACTCGCATCGATAATGATTACAATAGAATTTTTCATGCTTCTACGACAGTTTTCATGTAGTTTGCGGTTATTTTCTACTGGCCAGAATGAGAGCCTATAGCTGGCTGCCACTAATAGGCAGGAAGATTCTATTGGCCAGCGTGAGAACCAACAGCTGACTGACACGAATGTTAACTAGCATGCTAGCATGCAAAAAAAAATCGATAGCTGCATTCGTCACAAGTGGGAAAAATTTAAATCTGCATGGCACTTTACTCCAATTGGCTCATTCGCTTGCTTAAACCCAACGTTGATTCTGATTCCGCAGAACTGGGCTGGGTGTGAAAAAGGATTTGTTGTTAACATTCTTTTTTCATTCGGTTTTTCCAGTTACGAGTCCTTTTTTAAAGCTGATCGTTTTGTGTTCATTTTGTTTAGTTCTTTTTTCGTAACAGATTTAATGTTTAGTATAGAGCTTAGAAAAAATTCGCAGTGTGAAATAGGCAAGAATTAAGGCATGTAGCAACATCTGCACGGCAAAGGGCACTCCTTTAAAGGCAAGGAAGGGAAAAAATATTTTAAGTCAAGTGATAGTGATTGCTGTATGAGTTGAACGATTTTTGAATCAACGCCTGGACATGCTGCTAGTACACACATAGACAGAGTGAATCGAAAATAATTTTACAAACATTGGACTCGTGTTCGTCACACCAAAACAAGAAAAAAATTCCATATACTTGAGTTAATAAGTTTTAATTTTAAGGTAGACGCTGTTAAATGTACAGTCCAAGATACAATCTAAAAATAATTTTACAGACATGAGGCGTGGGTTCGTAAAACTTAAACAAAGTAAAATGCCCATATGAACATATGTCCTAAAGGCCATTGTTGTACCTCAACACAGCAACTCATAACAAATGTTCAAAATTTCTTCTTCTTGATTCTACAAAAGCAAGCACCCCGTCGGATCATTGACTGGTGGTCGCTTTCAAATACTCCCATACGGTGTAGAATCGTTTCACAGACCCCCATGACACATTGGGGAAGCCCCTCTGCATTATTAATGTCTGCTTTATAAACCAATTGTTTTAGCAAGCCAACAGATAAAAATGCAAATAATTGAAGTCGGGAGAATGGGCAGGCCACATCCAGTCCTCCAATAATTATCCATCTGTCAGCCAGTGCATCGTTACAATGTGACTAAAATTTGCTGGGACTCCATCATGCATTAACCACGTGCCTCTTCGTATTAGCTGGGGTACATCCTCAAGCAGGTCGTGAACATTCGAAATAAAGTCTCTATAAGCTGCTCCTTAAAGTGGTTTATGAACATATGGACCTACCAGACAGTCACGTACAATTCCATCATACACATTAATCGCAAACTGATGCTGGTGTCTAGCCTGTATTATAAATGTTGGTTGTGTAAATGTTTCATTCCATCTCTTTCAAACATTGCCTCCTCCGTAAACAAGACTGAAGAGATAAAGCAACTGATCGGTCTGTGCAATAAACCATCGGCAAAAGTTCTCCCTTGATGAGTGATCAGAGGACGAAAGATCCTGCACACGTTTGCAAATGATACGGATAAAGGAACTGATCTTGATATACCCAACATACGGTATTACAAGAGGAACGACATCCTAGGACCACTTGACGTGTTCTGATACCTGGACCATCTCCAACATCCTATATAATTTGGTCTTCGTAGACCCGATCACGATCTTCTTCGATCCAGAGTTTATGGTGCAACAGATCCTTTATCTGTAACGCGACGATAAACAACAGCAAGTTTTCTATGGATCGGGTGCTTATTTTACTTCAAGCCTTCTCATTTTTACTATTTCACATGAAAGAAAAAAAAGATACTAACGACGATGAAAAGCCTAAACCAGCCCTTAAAATATCACCTAAACCCTTTAACATTTCATTTTCTAACACCCGAGGCATTCAGACCAATTTCTGCACTGTGGAATCTTTCCTCATTGCGAACTTCCCGGTTATACTGGTTCTCTGTGAGAATAACCTTGACTTGTCTATCCCCTCCTCTGATCTCTCAATCCCCGGCTACCTTCCTCTCCTTAGAAACGACTCTCAAATTTATATGCATAGCCTTGGTGTTTACGTGAAGGCCAAACTATCGCTGGCTAGAGAGCTGTCTCTTGAATCTCCGGACCATCTGTGCATCTGTCTCCGGCTATCTCTTCTCAATGTTGTAAGCTATCTCTTCTTCCTTTATCGTTTTCCATCCTCCCAAGTCTCTGGTGTAATCGAATGCATTCCTGACAGTATATTCACAAGGTTCTCTCTCTTCATCCGGTTGCTCAAATATTCGTGTTTGCTGATTTTAACGCCCATCATACCAAGTGTCTTGTAGCGCCACGCAGCACTGCCCTCTTGGCAACTCCGATCATGCTGTAGTGTCTGTCAACATCTCCTTCAACTCCACCTCCTGCAAAGAACCTCCTACCATTAGAACCTCGTTCTGCTGTCAGCGAGCAGACTGGGACTCGTTCCGGGATTTCCTTCGCGATGTCCCCTGGGTTGTTGTCTTTACGCTCCCCGTTCAAGTATGTGCTTCCGAGGTCTTCTCCTGGGTTAAAACTGGAATCGAGGCTTCAATCCCCACAAGGAAATATAAGGTCAAATCGCGCTTCTCCACTTGGTTCACCGCTGATTACTCAGCTGCCATTGCCCATAGGAATCACTTCTTCCACCTATATCGTAGCAACATGTCAGGCTGCAATAGACGTCTCTTTGTCTCTGCCCGTAAACGTGTCCTCAATGAAGTCACTATTTGCTGCTCGAATGAAAGAACGTATTGCATCTCCCATCGCAAATTCGACCCCAAGGGTTATTGGCGTCCCTGAAAGAGCGTACTAAACAATAACAAACACTCTATAACTCTTTTGTTCAGCCAGTTCGAGGTTTTGATCTCGTATACGGAAAAGCCTGAATGCTTTGCACGGAAATTCTCATTCAATGCAACGCTCGACTCTTACTCCTTAGAACTTAGGCTCTGTTGAGCGAATTGCACATAACCTCTTCACCGGCATTGGGCATTATCTCTAATTTAGACTCCCATAAGGCTAGCGGTGGTGACGGGATACCAGCTATTGTCCTGAAGAAATGTGCACCTGAACTGGCTCCTACTGCCTCAATGAATCGCGTTTTCCAGACTGTTGGAAGTCCTCATCGATTATTCCTGTTTTTAAGAACTCTAGAGACCCTTTTTACCCTTTTAATTACCGTCCTATCAATCTCCTACCCCTCTTCGACAAAGTTTTTCTGCTTGTGTGGCACGATGCAGAATCCTGTTGTCAGACACTGGGTCTTTCAGCAACCAGCCTCTTGACCCAGGCCAGTACTATCTCCTTCATGCACGTGATGTAGGCCTCCGTGTTGAGTATTGGCTCTGTTGGAAGATGAATGTCGGCATAACGTCGCCATCACAAATGATCACACTAAACACCTTCGTAATCACCATTAGACTCATCCAACTCCTTCCGAATCCTCTGCACTCTCCTCAGATTGACAACCAAACACCCTGAAATGTTCATATAGGAGCTTCCATTGGGAATGTTAAGCAGTACAGCATGGCGTTGCCAAATTCTGGAGGAGTTAATTGAGCCATGGTGTAGTCGAGTAAATAAAAAAAATAACGTAACGCGCGCATATATATATATATATATATATATATATATATATATATATATATATATGTGTGTGTGTGTGTGTGTGTGTGTATGTGTATAAAATATGTGTGTATATAAATATAAATATATATATATATATATATATATATATAAGTATTTATATATTATATGCATGGTACTTATTAGAAAGCCCTCAATATCAGAGATAGAGCTAACATATTTGGTTGGATAGATGTGAGTTTGCGACCCTGGGTTTCACGCTTTTCCGATCGTCAGACAAACTGATCAATTTTTTTAAAAATTGGGTTTATGTAGATTGCGTGTATTGGTGATTGTATGACGATCTCAAAAGCGTGAAACCCAGGGTCACAAACTCACATCAATCCAACCAAATATATATATATATATATATATATATATATATATATATATATATATATATAAAGAGAGAGAGAGAGAGAGACTCTAATTTCGCTATAGCTTGTATACACTTCTGAATTGAAGTGCATGAATTCTTCATGACTTCTTCATTCACCAACAACGTCACCAGAACTTCTTTCGTATCTGACATACTGGAGTTCGACATGTAAACAGGCATACTTCATTATGCGCCTTTCAACAAAATTAATATGATAGGTATCAGGGCTACATGGAGGTCGAGTTCTCAAAAGATTGCTTGAAATGTCTCCTGACATCTTCCAGAATACTTCCTGGTGGCGAGAAATCTATCATTCAGGAATTTTACGAGAGCCTGCAGAGGGAATAGACACCCGGCGTGAGCTTAGACGTTTTTAGTAGCATTTCCTTTAACATTTCTTTCCCTCTGTCAAGGTATGTTTGCTTGGTGGCACCTGAGAGCAGCAGCCGTCCTTGAATCGAGTGTGGTTTTCAAACGTAAATACATGTTCACAATTCTCTTAACCGAAATATCCAGGTGTTTCGCCATCGTTATCATCCTTCTTCGAAGAATTCTCTTTACCCTCTTCTTGACGGCTTCAGTGACTCTACTAGTATGAACTGCACGTTTCCCTGTTGAATTTAAATTTGGTGAAGTTCTTTCTTCCCCTTGAAACATTTTCCACGCATTAAAAACAGTTTTCACTCGTTTTCGATGCGATAAATTTATCCCGTTTTGTTTGAGCGACCACATTTAATTTAACGCT